CCGTTTAATCACAAGGATTTTTAAATTTGCATTTACACCAGTTTGCATACTGAGAAGAGGAAGAAGAAAAACAAGCGGCTCAACCTTTTAAATCAGATCCACAGCTCATATGGCATTATTATGAAATGGACGTTACATCAAAATCAGCAGAACTGCTTGAATCTGCATTATGTATGTCTAGGGCAGGGGTTCTCAAACATTTTGGTGCCAGGGACCCCTTTCAGGGGAAAAAGATTTCCAAGGACCCCCCTTATATTTATAACCGTTATTAAGCACAAAGTTAATGTCTGAGCGGCTAATGAAATATTCTTGCACAAAATGAAATGGTCTCCACCCAGGGTACTATGCAGGAATTCTAAATAGCCTACTGAGGTCCAAAAGTGATCTTACTAGGAATCACTTAGGATCCCTCACTTAGGAATTTTGATGTTCTTGATCTACATGTGCATTTTAATGTGTTTTTAAGGCCCCACAATTGGATATAGATTTAGAAGCATGTCAGTGGGCAGTGGCATACTTTTTTTTTTTGTCAAGATGTCACGAAACACAATCAACATATTCCAAACAGGAATGGCCTTAAAGGAGAAATGTTTCAATGATTAGGCCTATTCTGCACACAAATAAAGCCTATAAATACAATGATAATGGCATTATGTTTAAAAGGTGCGTGCGTTGTTAATTTGAGCTACTGCAATTAGCTAAAAAAACATATAGTATATGTTAAATATATGAATCCATAATATTAATCTCATGGGCACAGTTATGTTTTCTCTTGACCTGCGTTTTCCTTGTTAAACTTGAGCTTGATTAATACTTTGCAAACTGATTGTTTCGGTCGTTTTTTTAAAACTTTTATCTAAAACAGCTTTTAGTTTATGTTAATGTAGGCCTACATTTTATCCCGTACTTTATGACCGTTGACTGATACGTCGTGCGGGGAACTTTGAGTTCACTCCGACTCAAACATTTTGACATTGAGATGTCGTTGTTAGTCTGCTGAAGCACCTCAGACGAGAAGGTCAGTTATCATCGCGATGTGCATCCTTGCAACCTCAATGTTGGTTTACGGCCCTGTCACTATGCACTTTTATTTTGATAATGATCAGACTTCTAATGTCAAATCTACAGTAGCAGTGCTAGAACTGACTATTGTGCGCGCACGCGAGACGCCGGCGCCGCGATTACGTGGAATTTTTCCTCAGCAGTGGAAACAGGAATACTCTTATTTATGGTCATAGATAAGACAAGAGTGCATCATCCGAAACGGTAAAGTGTCCATTTTTTTTATTTGTGTATAGGCTACATTATAAATGACTACAAAATGTCTTGCCTTTTTAAAAATACAGAAAACAACCGGATGCGGGTTCATGCCGTCTCTCTGTCTTCTTCTGGCGCACGTCGCGCAAAATCAATAGCGAATAGCCTAGTCTACTTGACGCACAGACATAGATTATCTATCTATAGAAAACTTAAGTGTTTAATTTGTATTCTTTGATGTTAAATGCATTATAAGTAACTTAGGAATAAACAGCATGTTTTCAGATGATAAAGAAAACATGACTCATAGCACGGAAAAAAACGTTAGGTTGTTATAAATTATTTCGCGGACCCCCTGGCATTAGCTCACGGACCACCAGGGGTCCGCGGACCCCACTTTGAGAACCACTGGTCTAGGGAACACGTGAAAACTGACGCGTTGCAGTTGTCTGACAGTTGTCACACGAGTTGTATCTGCTACTTATGACACGTATGGTGTTTTTCTTTCTTTTGTTCATTTTAGAGCTAAACAGACGTGGTAATCTTTTACTGTCATTGTATGGAAAAGAGAGACTAGACAGCTATGTCTCCCTTTTATAGAAGAACCTATAGGCCTATTGGAAAGAGTGTAAGTTTAGTTTTGGGTGAACTACTTTACACATTATATAATGAAATCACATTTGTTAATGACATTAATTGATGTGAAACGAGTCTATAAAAATAAAAAGTTTGTATGTGTTTACATTTCAACTGGGTCAGTATGACATAAGTTTGCAGTTTACTAAATAAAATCCTTTTTCCTAATCATTTATTGCCTATATACCATATAGGTCTTAATGTGAAGCTTGTTTTATATATGAATGGTAAAAGTGTTTTTTGTATTTTCTATATTTGGTCTATTTTTTGTGTACAGTCGTGTTTCTACAAACCCAATTCCATAAAAGTTGGGGACACTGTACAAATTGTGAATAAAAACAGAATGCAAATGATGTGAAGTTTCAAATTTCAATATTATATTTAGAATACAACATAGAGTAATAGTAATAGCCTATGCTTTTTATGTCCAAACTGATTTGTAGCATATTGTCTGCATGGATAAACCTGTGGTTATTGCTTTGTTTAAGAGGTTTAAGGCATAAACCTCAGAGACTTCACCATTAAACAACCACGACCTTATCCATTAGCATACTTTACATTGTTTATTCAATGAATTTATGAGAGAACATTAAATGGCCACCCTTAAATGAGAAAACCATAGACTGTAAAAGGAGAAAACTAAATAATTTAGGCAGTGATTTGAGCAAACTACTAGTATTGAAGTCAATGTCTGATGCTGTTGTGCACTTTGAGTGCTAAGTAATTCCCATCATGCATGGATGTCACGAACTTTCATAATTACCTTCAAAACACATCATAATAATGCAATGACTCACTGGGTTTATAAAACATATTTTCTGACACGATTTCCAGATGATTTTTATCACAGTTATTGTGAAGGTCATGGCAGCTTGAATTGAGATGAATCCTTTTCTGCACACAATTTATTTGTGTTTTTATTTGGTTAGTAACCTTAAAGCTACACTGTGTAACACTTTTACTTTATTATTAGCTAAAAACACTTAGTTCTTTCAAAAATATGTGTTCATTAATATATATTTACTCTGTTCAAGTTATAAAGTATTCTCGTGAGTGTATAAAATGCCATTGAAAATACATACAGGTAAGGGGTTCTAATGTCGGTCGGTCGCCATGTTGCCCCTCCATCTTGAAAGTACATTAGCCAAAGAGGGACTTACCCGTTAATTCAAGCTTCGCCTTTCGTGTTTACGTTTGAGTTAACACTCATGGACGAGGTCGAACTGGAAGCCATGTTAATCTTGGACTACATTGGCCACCGTAGGAGTTAAAATGAAATCGGAATTGAGAGGAACAGAAATTAATATTCAATGGATGTTCATATACATTTTCACCTCTAGATGGGGGTAAAAATCACACAGTGTAGCTTTAAAGAATTTTATCAGGTATTATTTAAACCTTTTAGAATATTGAATGCCATATAATATTTCATATCAACCATGTAGCCCAAGACTGGTTACCCATTGAAGCTAAGCAGGTCTGAGCCTGGTTAGTACCAGGAATGGAAGAGGTGTTAGTGAGGCCAGCAGGGGGTGCTCTCCCTTTGGTCTGTGTGGGTCTAACGCCCCAGTATAGTGATGGGGACACTATACTGTAAAAAGAGTACCGTCCTTCGGATGAGACGTTAAACCAAGGTCCTGACTCTCTTCGTGGTCACAAAAAATCCCGGATTTCTTTCGAAAGAGTAGAGGTGTAACCCGGCATCCTGGCAAATTTGCCCAGTGGCCTCTGTCATCATGGCCTCCTAATCATCCCATATATATATATATATAATATATCAATTGGCTTCATCACTGTCTCCTCTCCACAGTAAGCTGGTGTGTGTGGTGGGGTTCTGGCACAATATGGCTGCCGTCGCATCATCCAAGTGGATGCTTGCACACTGGTGGTGGTTGAGGAGATTCCCCGCTCTATGTAAAGCGCTTTGAGTGCTCAATATTTCACGAGGCTGAGAAGTAACAAGTCTGTAATGTGCGACTCATGTCCTCCAGATGTGTGAATTGCACCCTTCAACACTATTCACAACTAATTGACGGATCAGTATTCTCATGCTCACCATCCTCTCACACAAATGGGTTCAAGTGTCCAGAGCACCACCGAGTGGTCCAACCTAAGTACTTGTTTAGCACTTGCTCTTTATTGTAGTTTAGTCTAATAAACAGCCACAAACAACAACCACATATAATAGTTATTCATAAAAAAATCATGTATTTGTATGAACAGATTGTTTAATGGCAAAATGGCAATGCAGCAATCTGAGATTATTGTTCATTGATTAATGACGTGTCCTTTATACGTTGAAATTTATGATAAAGTGCTCGATTATCAATGAATCATTTGTTCGAAAATCCTCTGAACATTATACCTGTTGTAGATGCTATATGAAAGTGTATTGTAGCAGTTATTTTATCAGGTTTCTGTGTCTGTTCTCAGTCGGTGGGACAAGCGTGCGACATGCAGTCACAGCCAGTGACAGCGAGGACTTGGTGTTGCGTTCGCGTGCCGTTAGCGCAGTGTAGGGCAACATTCATGGGCACGGTGCCTGTAGCTGAGCAACACACACACTCGCTCTCA